CCCAGTGCTGGGTTGCAGCTGAAAGTGCATCTGCTGCATAAAACACATGCCAGAATAGTTGGCGGTTCATTCTGCTGTGGTGACCTCTGAAATACAGACTAAGAAAAATGAAGGAATGAATTTCAAACTTGACTACATTTTTGATCAAACACGTGTAGCCTTGGAAAGCAGAATATATATTTTTTAAAGTTCACATTTATTCATTTGTTTAATGCCCGATCCTTTTTTAAAAACATAAAAAACCAACACACTGATCTCAAATCTTTCCACCGGTTGTGCATGAGATGCAGTTTTATCTAATGGCACTTTTCTCTTTGTAAGGTGGAGCTGTCGGAGGTCTTCTTGGATGCTGGATGACGAGCGGCCAGTTCAAACCTCTTCCTCAGGTCATCATGGAACTGACCCCAGACCAGCAGGCCAGACTTTATGAGGATATCGTGGCAATCTTAGGCTCGATAACATGGACCGATGTTGCACAACTGACAGCCCTCGTAATGGGAAACGCCAGCCTTCAGCAGCAAGTGACCGCAGCTCTCCTCAGCTACATTCACAAGGAACTTCAAGCTGAAGTACATTACATTGACTGACCAAAACAAAAACAAAACAAACATTTTAATAACATTTCAAACCGTATTATCAGGTGTCATACGGGTAGTTTGACTGAACGCTCGAGTACTGTAGATGAAACTGGCTTATCAAAACTTAATTTGGTACATTTCAATCTGACAAGTGCTGTTTATTCTTTAAAATAATTTCCTGGCATAATGTGTGGCATGTTTTCAGAACACTTCAGAAGGTGTAATGTACATTACAATCACGGCCTTTTGATTTTTTTTATCTCTTTTTTTGGTTTGGTGAAGCTCATTTTAATGAGGATTTGCACCTGCAGAGAAGAGCCTTAAAAACATATTGTCTGTTGCTTTTTAAATACATATTTATTGATAGATGGGATTGGCCAGATGTGTTAAAATCATGCTTTGTATGGGCTGTTTGATTCAATACCGTAGTTTAAATTGGCATAAACACTGTACAATGGTCTCAAACTCAATTTCTGGAGGCCCGCAGCTCTGTATAGTTTAGCTCAACTCACACCTGCTTAACGGCGCAGTCATATAAGAGTTTGGGCTTGCGAAATTCTGTCGTACAGCGCTGTGAAAAAGGGCAGGATTAAACAAGATGATTAGACATTTTAAAAAGCGAGCGATTGGTCCATATTTTAAATTTCAGCCCATAGAGGTCATGTTTTGATCTTTAATTGGTCTCACCCAGTCAAGTGATGCAATTTTGTTGGTCAAAGTACACCAAGCTTGAACTTTCCAACGCAGCAAACTGTGAAACCTGTCGCACAAGCTTGCGTTTCTGACGCATTTGTGTGCATATGAATGGAAGTCTTTGGGGAGAAAAGTCCAGTGTGACCGCAGCATTATAATCTATAGTTGTTCTGAACACCATGATTATTTGAATCAGCTGTGTTTGATTAGGATTTGAGCAAAAGTGTGCAGAGCTGTGGCCCTCCAGGAATCCAGTTTAAGACCTATGGTTTGGTTACAGGGTTGCTTAACCCTGTTCCTGAAGATCTACCTTCCTACAGATTTCAGATGCAAGCCATATTAAACACACCTGCCTGAAATGATCAAGTGCTGTTCAGGTCCTAATGATTAATGTTTGATCAGGGTTGGAGCTGAACTCTGTAGGAAGGTAGATCTCCAGGAACAGGGTGGAGCATCCCTGGTTTAGTATATTACTTGAATTAATTTCTTGGCATACATAATGTGTTGTTTACTTTCAGAACACTTTTGAAGCTTGTTCATTATGAAACATGTGAATGATGGCCTGTTGTTGAACCGATGCCTTTTAAAAAAATATTTAAATAAACATTTTATTTTAATGAGACTTTTTTTTCATTTGTAAGCATGGTTTGATTCTTACTCATGTCACAGAGGTCAGTTACTTTGATATAAAGGTTTATTTAGTGTTTGATATGGCTACATACATTAAAAGCATATAGAAAAAAAGCATTTTTAACAGGAACAGATTAACATGTGCTCCTTCAAGTTAAGCTGTGCATATTTTTGAGTATTTTAATAAACAAAAGGACGATGTGGTGGCGCAGTGTGTAGCACGTTCGCCTCACAGCAAGAAGGTTGCTGGGCCTCAGCTGGGTCCGTTGGCATTTCTGTGTGGAGTTTGCATGTTCTCTTCGTGTTTGTGTGGGTTTCCTCTGGGTGCTCCGGTTTCCCCCACAAAGTCCAAAGACGTGGTAAAGGTGAATTGGGTAGGCCAAAAATTATCGATAGTGTGTGTGTGAATGAGTATGTGTGTTTCCCATTGATGAGTTGCGGCTGGAAGGGCGTCCACAACGTAAAACATATGCTGGATAAGTTGGCGGTTCATTCCGCTGTGGCGACCCCAGATTAATAAAGGGACTAAGCTGAAAAGAAAATGAATGAATGAATAATAAAGAAAAACGTTTATTCAGCAATAAAGCTTTAGAAAATTA